TGTCTGCAGGCATCTGAGGCTACAGCTACACTGCTGTTTTTTTCTGAAAGAGGCTATTCAAATCATGCTCTCGTTTGCATATCTTTTTCCGATTCTTTTTGAGGAAGAGATTTTACCAGTATTTGGCCCCATATAGACAGGGCGAAATGTCAGAAACCCCTCCTTCTTTTGCAAGGTTTATAGGGTCTTGCGAAAGACGGGGGTTGTTTGACATTTGTCCCCATCTACACGGGGCCAAATACTGGAAAAACTTCTTCCACAGAAAGAATCAGAAGAAGATATGCAAATAAGAGCAGGATTTGAACATCTTCTTCCAGAAAAAAAACCAGCAGTGTAGCCACAGCCTGATGGAGGGGTCAGCTACCAGTCACTGCTGCTTGTTTTTCTCTTTTCTTTTTTCAAGTTCTTTTGGGGCAAAGACCTTGGGGTACCACTGGGGGGTGGGCTCAAGTGACCACCCCTAGTTTTAGGGATAAAAAGAACATGGAGAAGGCAGCAATTCCCCAAAATCTGTGTATTAGGATTCTGAGGGGAAGTTTTTGTAACCGGAGCCTGTAGAGGCAAAGGTTTGAGCTCTTTGCGGGACCCCAGCTTCTGCACTCGGAGGGCAAGTCGACATTGCCCATGGCTTTCGAAAGAAGATATGCAAGTTTAGTGCGAATTTGCATCTCTTCTTCTGATCCCTTTCTCAGAAGAGTATTTTTCGAAAAAAAACCAGAGTAGATCGGGGTTTTCAAAAAAAGCCCCCCTTTTTTCGAAAGAACACTTCTCTCTGAAAAAATGAAGTTTACAGGGTTCTTTTGAAACCCCCTGTCTAGACTGCTTTTTCTTTTTGAAAAAAACTCTTCCAAAAAAGGGATCAGGAGAAGCGATGCAAATTTGTGCGGAGGAAAAAGGAGACTTCCCTGGTTTTTGAGGCTTAGCTGGAACAAGAACCATTTTTGTGGGGCTTTGTAACAAGCAAAAGTGTATGTTAGAATTATCTACGTGGTTTTTGTTATTTAAAACTAGCTGGAGTTACCCGGCGTTGCCCGAGAAACCGGAGGAACGAAATTTAGGAAAACAGTAGTCCATTTTCTTTTTTTGAATGGTAGAAAAGGTGCACTGATTTATATAGGGTTTACAATATATAGACAAAAAATTACAAAACAACCAATTTTACATATTATCATCAAAAACGTTATCGTAAACTATAGTTGTTGTTCCATTATTCTTAACAAACTAGATAATTAGCCCGTCATAAGATGGGATTTTCAGGTCTCTCCTCCATGTTGGTCTTCTCTCCTGAGCCTCTGGTCTCTCACTCCTTCTCTCTCTCTCTCTTTCTCTTTCCACCTCCTACTGCCTCCCTCCCTCTCTCAGCTCTCCTCCCCCTTCTGACTCTCTCTCCGTCTCTCTCTTTCTCTTCTCCTCCTCCTGCCTCTCATTCTCTCTCCACTCTCCTCTGTCTCTGTCGGGGATGCACACTCATCCAGGCCCCACCCTCTGGGCGTGTACGTTACCACCCTTCCCCCCTTCGCCTCACGCTGTGGTGCTTGGCTGAGTTCTGCGCCACTCAGTCAGGCCGCCGCAGGGGAGCAAGTGGCCATTTGTGCTCCCCCACGGCAGCCCGGCTCAGTGGCACAGAGGTCAGCCGAGTGCCACGGCAGGAGGCAACAGTACCCCCCAGAGGCAAAATGTAATGCTACAGCATTACAGAGTCACCGACATTGGGCTACTGTATATATTATGTACAAATTTTTTCCACTTCCCACTCGTGAACACGCAACATAGAAAACTAAGGTGTCTCCAAATCAACTCCAGCTACTTTAAGTGACTGTCCTTGCACTTTGTTTATGGACATTGCAAAGGCGAGTCGTATTGGGAACTGAAGCTGTTTAAATTCGAAGGGCGTATCTGTAGGGATGATTGGTATGCGTAGTATAAATATGTCCTCACCTTTCGCATAAACTGTTAAAATTGTTGCTTCTATTACGTGGGGCATTAATTTTTTGTACACAATCTCGTCCCATTGCATAATCGTGTTGCATCCAGATTCCTTAGAAGAATAATCGCAGAACCAGTTTTAAGCACTAAATTGTGAGGCGGCATTCCAGTAGGTTCAAGAGAGTTTACCTGGCACTGCTGTTTTTCTAAATTTTGTTCCTCCGGTTTCCCGGGTAATGCCGGGTAACTCTTGGGGCAGGAAGAGACGTGTCCTGCATGCTCACGCAGCCACGTGAAGGCATTGCTCAGGGTGACAACCGCTGGGGTGCCTCAAGCCTCCGCCCACCCCTCCTGCCAAGCCTCCCCCCATACACACACACACACCCCACCGGGACCCTGCCCACCCCCTCACCTTGCTTGCTGGACCACCCCGCTGCCCTGTCCCTGGGGCTCCCCCACTTCTCCTTGTGTGGCTTGGCCCCGGCAGGGTGGCCGGGCTCAGAGTCCGCAGCCAGGCGGTGGCGGTGGTGATGGTGCTGCTCCTGGTGCGGAGGATCCTGTGGCAGGCTGAGAGGAGAGACGGTGAAGAGCCCCGCGGCTGCAGCCAGGGGCAGGCCGGGCAGGGCGAATGGAGGCATTGGCCCCACCTGGATGGGCCTCACCAGGAAGGGCTGGCTCAGCTTGATCCATTTGCCTTGGACAGGCTCTGCAGCTGGTGCCCCCCCAGGGATGTCCAGGCCGCTCCCCCGAGGGCAGCAGGGGCGACTCCTCTGGGCCCCAGGATACGGCACGACCTGCAGCAACCTCAGCAGCCATTTCACAGTCTCCCTCACACACATTGAAATGGACCAAACACCAGGCATTAACACATAGTTGCCCCGCGATGCCTCATGGGAAATGTAGTTCCATCAGGTACAGCGAGCCCCCTATAGCACCATCTTGAGATCAGGCTCGATCGGGTCCAAAAGTACCTTCAAACCTTCTCCTGGAGGAAAGGTTATCCATGCAAAGTTTGGTTGCGATAGCTCTTAGGGTATGTCTACACTGCCACCCTAGTTCGAACTAGGGAGGCTAATGTAGGCATTCAAACTTGCAAATGAAGTTCGGGATTAAAATATCCTGAGCTTCATTTGCATGTTCTTCCTGGGCGCTGCCATTTTTAAATGCCCGTAATTCGAACTACCTGCCCGCGGCTACACGCGGCACGGGCTAGATAGTTCGAACTAAAGCCCCTAATTTGGACTACTGTTACTCCTCATTGCGGCGCCCAGGAACATGCCAATAATGCCCGGAATATTTTAATCCCGGGCTTGATTTGCAAGTTCGAATGCCTACATTAGCCACCCTAGTTCGAACTAAGGTGGCAGTGTAGACATACCCTTATAGTGTCCAAGTTATTAGTGAACAAACATACAAACATTCTCCTTTATATGTTAGGTTTGTAATCTGCTTTGCTCTGCCTGTTTTCACTCACAACCACTTAAATCCTGCTGCCTGTACTTAGTAAATGATCGTTACCTGGAGGAGCAACCAGTGTGCACATTCCCGTTTCATTGCCTAACGGACATTGCCTAAATCATTCCTTAGGGGTTCTGATGCCAGTTGGGGAAAGGTGTCGTTGGAAGCTGGGCCCTACACTATAATTTCCTTGGACCTAAAGGGCTCGTCTACACTGGCCCCTTTTCCGGAAGGGGCATGTAAATTTCACCTATCGTAGTAGGGAAATCCGCGGGGGATTTAAATATGCCCCGCGGCATTTAAATAAAAATGTCCGCCGCTTTTTTCCGGCTTTTAAAAAAGCCGGAAAAGAGCGTCTACACTGGCCCCGATCCTCCGGAAAAAGCGCCCTTTTCCGGAGGCTCTTATTCCTACTTCAAAGGAGGCCCTACTACGATAGGTGAAATTTACATGCCCCTTCTAAGAGCCTCCGGAAAAGGGCGCTTTTTCCGGAGGATCGGGGCCAGTGTAGACGCTCTTTTCCGGCTTTTTTAAAAGCCGGAAAAAAGCGGCGGACATTTTTATTTAAATGCCGCGGGGGATATTTAAATCCCCCGCGGATTTCCCTACTACGATAGGTGAAATTTACATGCCCCTTCCGGAAAAGGGGCCAGTGTAGACGTAGCCAAAGAGTTTCAGTGTCTCAACTGCGCTTGGGGGCGTAGGGAGTGAGCTCTGCTCAGAGCCAGCCCACAACATTTTGGCACCGGAGGCGAGAAGCTCAAAAGACACACCCATGGCCCCTTGCTTGGACCAAAACTTTGAGAGGTCTCAATGCTGCCTTCTTCCTGTTCTACTCTTCTCATGGTATTGCTCTGATACCTACATATGCACCACCAGCACAAACAATTTTCTACACTCTGGGCCCTAGTGGCACCTCCCCCGCCACCCACAGTCTGGCACCTGAGGAGGCTGCCTCAGTTTGACTCATGTTAGGGATAGCCCTGGCTCTGCTCTGTGCATTGGCTGGAGGAGACCAGGGAGCTGGCCCAGCAGGATTGGGCAGTGAGAAGCCCCAGAGAGCAAGAAAGTGAGTGTTGGTGAATGTCAGCACTCCAGGAAGCACCTCAAAGGCTCTTCTGTGACCACCTCTGCATCACAACCCCCATTCACTGACAAAGGCCTATTGATAGGACTTTCTGACCGTTGGTCGTTAGCCCGTGTTTAGTGCCTCACAAGGACGATACAGTTGATTGTTCCTTTTGTAGCTGAATGTTTTCTCTGATTCACTGAAATGCCTCTGCTCTGTTGACACCTGTTTTCTCTGCATTGTTCCCTTGGCAAAGCTTTGGTTTCTGTTGTTTTTTTCTTTCTCTCAGATGCTGAGCAATGGGGAGAATGCAGGAGTCCATACAGCTAGTGTGTTTCAGTGTGTGAAGAGCGATCAACCCACTTACTTCACGAGAACAGCCAACACCAGTGCGTGTTGTTTCTCATAGTAACACTCTCTCCATCTTCCAGGCATTTGTGCTTCGAGGATTGCACTAGAACCTGCACATAAAGGAAGTCAGTGTAACGTACGGTACATACTGGAGACACCGTTCTGCTTCAGAGTTGAGTACCTTCTCCACTACGTCATGTCAGATCCCAACACAACCCACTTCACCAACCCCTCCACCTTCATCCTGCTGGGCATTCCCGGCCTGGAGGCGGCTCATGTGTGGATCTCCATCCCCTTCTGCACCATGTACGTCATAGCCCTCCTAGGGAACTTCACCATCCCATGCATCGTGCTGACAGAGCCAAAACTCCATGAGCCCATGTACTATTTCCTCTGCATGCTGGCTGTCACCGACCTGGTCCTGGTGACATCCATCCTGCCAAAAACACTGAGCATCTTCTGGTTCAATTCCAGAGAGATCGAATTCAATGCCTGCCTCATCCAGATGTTTTTCATAAAAGGCTTCTTCATGACTGAATCAGGGCTCTTCGTGGCCATGGCATTGGATCGCTACGTGGCCATCTGCCATCCCCTGAGACATTCCACCATCCTGACAAATCATGTTGTGATCAAGCTCGGTCTGGCCATGCTGCTGCGTGGCAGCATAATTGTCCTGCCCTATCTCCTGTTGGCCAGGCAGTGGTCATATTGCAAAAAAAACATCATCCCCCACACGCACTGTGAGCATGTGGCCATATTGAATCTGGCCTGTGCCGACATCAGCATCAGTAACTACTATGGACTTTTTGTTGTCTTTTTTGTGACCGGTCTGGATGTGGTTTTTATCATTCTGTCCTATTTCCAGATCCTCTGGACCATCTTCAACCTCCCCACGAAAGACGCCCGGCTCAAGACCTTTGGGACGTGCGGCACCCACCTGTGCGCCATCTTAGCCTTTTACATCCCACGTCTCTTCTCCTCACTTGCATCCCGCTTTGGAGAGAACATGCCCCTGTATTTTCATATTCTGAGTGCCAACATGTACCTCCTGCTGCCCCCCACACTGAACCCCATCATCTACGGGGTGAAGATCAAGCAGATCCGGGACAGGCTGTTCCGCCTCGTCACTCATTGTGGGGGGAATGTTTTCTCCTGGTGCTGTGGCTCTCAGGCAGAGCTGAAAGCTGACAGGGTGCCAGGCCCACTTCCCTGAGACACAGACTGGCCATGGAGACATCAAATCCTTTCCGGACCACACTGTTCTGTGCCAGCAAGAGAAACTCATTAACTCCTAAGGCTGCCAGACTTCCTGTTGCTGGTAACCAAAGCCCTTAGGCCCAGCCTCTTCTCCTCCACTAAGGCTCTGCAATGGTCCATGTCTTCCCTCCATGCACCACTGGCTGGTGGCCTTTTTTCCCAAGGCCCTGCCCCTGTCACTGTCTCCGCTTCCGGCCTCCACCATCACTATCTTCATCATCTCTACCATTCCTTTTGTTACCATTTGGCAATGAAATCTACGAAGGGGCTGGAGCGCAGGACTTAGGAGGAGGGAGTTCTGCTGGGCTACACGTGGGTCTGCATTTACATTGTTGAAGTCAAAATCAGGGTGCTCCACCAGGCTGGGGGACAAATACAGGGGGATTTCATCTGTTGCTCTGTCACCAATGCACCATTGCTTGGAATGACCAGACCCGGGGATTCTGTGATTCTATGAGGTCTCTGCCAGCCCTGGGATTCTATGATCCTATGAGATCCCTTTAAGACTGTCATGCAATGTGAGGAAATACTAGTGCGTCTGCCTGCCTGCCCTTCGGGATGCTCCCCCACCCTGTTCTGCTCAGCCGGGCCCTCTGATCTATCCCTGCATTGGTACAGATTTGGGATTACAGCAGACAATGAGATTAGATGAGCTCTGGGAAGACTCAGTTAAAGGGACATGACTCAGTGCCCAGGTTCACGGTCCCAGTGGGTCTAGAAGCCCAGATAAATCCTGTTTACTTTGCTTTAAGTTTAATTCAGAGCAAATTCATAATATGTCCACTCCCTTGATGAGTGAAAGAGGGAGATGCACAGGTACTTGCTCCTCCGTTAACGATTATTTACACTGGATGTGTTGATAAATAAAATTGATTGTAGTAAGTACAAAATGTTGGATTCAAGTGGTTGCAAGTAATAGCAGACACATCAAAGTAAGTCACTAAGCAAAATCAAACCAACCACCCCAGCTAAGTTTAATATTCTAAGACACTTAATACATGTAATTTCTTGCCCTCATGGTATTTCTAAACACCTTTCTTCACAAGCCTCCCAGTCTGTACCTGATTCTCCGCTGGCCCTTGCCACCCCATTCTGTATTAGATGTTTCCAGCAGCCATCTTGGTTGGTTAGCGGAGTTGTCCTTGTATCTGGTAGCTGGCCCTATGGTTCGGTTTCAGACCTTTCTATTCCGAGTGACAAAAGGGGAAATCCTTTCTGTTCAGCTTCAACTTTTCACTCGTTGAGCTGAAAAGTACAATGTCCAAAATGGGTTTGAGTATTAGGCGACCTGGATACATGCCTTGTTAGGACCAACCATATTCAAAGCTTACGGGACAAAACAAGACTATTCACAGGCCAGAGTATCAGGGAATTTAGTTCCTGAGCACAACTAATGGCCCTCAGGTAACACATCTATTTTAATAAAGAAGGTTTTATTGCTGATTTTTTTCTACCTTCACATACAGAAATGCGACATGTGCGCAAACAGACATTCAGCAGATAATAAAGTTTCAAACGTTGTGTGACAAGACGTGTTTTGCCTAGAGCATATTCAAGTTCTGTCATAGTCGCACGTGCATATCCATAAAGAGCGTGAGGCGCAGAGAAACACGCGGGATGTCCTGCCAGGTGTCCATAGGAAGGCTGGATTATGGGGGTTGTGCACGTTTCTGGGTATAAAGATTATTGGTGACAGTCTGGTATTATGGGGCAGATCCAGTTAGGGGACGGAGCACTGGTGTGCAGCGTCAGGACACCTTGTTTCCAGCTCATTTGGGGCTTGGAATAAATCGAGTTACCTCTGCGCGGCTCACTCTGTTCATGGGGGAGGAGCGGTAACTCGGCCCAGGGGCCTAGTGACAGAGATCCCAGTCATGACAGATAGCACGATGAAGAGTATACGTTAGATTCAGCTTCACTTCTCAGATTCAACCCCTGGGCAGTGGGTGCCTTGAAGCTCCAGAGAAGGTCCTGTGTGTGGGTATAAATCGCCGGCTCAGGGAGGCTGTGCCATTCATCTCCCACCCTGTGAAATCCTGAATCCACTCCCAGCCTCTGCCCAACATCCCTAACACTGACACTTCTCCTATTGCCTCTCTCATCTGCTGTGCACTTAGCACAAATGCTGATCCCCAAGGCCTGGCTCAAGGCAAAGAGCTCCCAGTCCAAACCGTTTACAGCAATCCTGCCTCCTACAGGCCTCAGCCAGGGGGCACAGAAGGAAACTGGAAGCTAAAGACAAATGGGATATGACAGAGTGGAATGAAATCACGAGTGGTGTAGAGAAAATGAATAAGGAAAAGTTATTTACTTATTCCCATAAGAACTAGAAGCCACCAAATGAAATTAATGGGCAACAGGTTTAAAACAAATAAAAGGAAACTTGTTTTACAACAGCGCACACTCAACCTGTGGAACTCCTTGCTGTTAGCCAGGATGAGTAAGGAATGGTGTCCCTAGTCTCTGTTTGTCAGAGGATGGAAATGGTGGCAGGAGAAAGATTGCTTGATGGTGGCAGGAGAAAGACCTGTTTGGTTCATCCCCTCCGGGGCACCTGGCATTGACCACTGTGGGCAGACAGGACACTGGGTTGGATGGATCTTTGTTCTGACCCTGTCTGGCCATTCTTATGTTGAAGACACCCAATAGACTCTTCCCTCAGGAATTCGTAGCTCAGTGTGAGGACTGCAGGGAGCCTGGACTACCCTGCCTGGACAATAAAAGGTGATGTCGGCCTTGGCCACAGGCCACATAAGTAAGAAGCAAAACCCAGGCCTGTCTCAAGTCTGGTGCACATAAGCACGTAGGCGAGGCCAAGGGAGAACCCGTGAGGAAGGAATGTTTTGAATAACAGTGCAGGTTAAGCCTGGTCCGCGAGACCATGTCAGGAACGCAGGACAAGCAGCCCTGTACGGGTACTTCTGTTCCTGATAAGCAATAATTACAGAGGCAGCTGTGAAAGTGTCAACTCCGCACCTAGCAGCAACATCCTGAGTGGGATGTATCCAAACAGGGGCATTGGGTGTACGCTGCACAGTACGTCGTCAATTGGTAAATATTATTGGAACGACCAAGGCTCGCTTTGCTAAAAAATGGACTTAGTAAGGTCAGTCGATGGGAGGGAATGGTCAGGAATGACCCACCCGTCCTACTCGATGTCACTAGAAGTAAATAGGCCCTTCACACTGGCGCCACAGTGCCTGGCGTTCCATCGCGTGGGAAGAAAAGCAACCACAGCCTCCTGCCTGCACTGTGGGTAGCATACGGGTAAAGTGAAAGCAAACTAGGCTTTATTATTGTATCATAGTAGATCTTCTACTCATTGCTTTGGCAGAGCTTGGTATGGTTGTGTCCCACAGATTTTCCTCACTCCACCAGTTTTCAGTGATGCCTATTATGTCAATCTCATCCTTTAATGCGAGGTACTCCAGTTCACCCATCTTGTTAGTCAGACTCCTAGCATTTGTGTACAAGCACTTTAAAAATTTGCCACTGGTTATTTGTCTGCCCTTCCCTGATGCATTGGATTCCTTTGGATGCGGTTGTTTGTCTGCTCTGGCCCATGGTTTGCCCTCTCTCCTCCTCTCTATCCGACTACAGCTTAGAGAATCTCTATCAATGGATTCTCCTCTAAGAGAAGTCTCCCTCCGATTTATGTGCATCTCTGCACCAATTGGCTTTCCCCCATCTCTTTGTTTAAAAACTGCTCTACGGCCTTATTAATGTTTAGTGCCAGCAGTCTGGTTCCACCCTGGTTTAGGTGGAGCCCATCCTTCCTGTATAGGCTCCCCCTCTCCCAGAAGTTCCCTACACCATCGTCTCATCCACGCATTGAGACTCTGAAGCTCTGCCTGCCTACCTGGCCCTGCGCGTGAAACTGGAAGCATTTCTGAGAATGCCACCATAGAGGTCCTGGATTTCAGTCTCTTTCCTAGCAGCCTAAATTTGGCCTCCAGGACATCTCTCCTACCCTTTTCTACATCATTGGTACCTACATGTACCACGACCACCGGCTCCTCCCCAGCACTACACATAAGTCTATCTAGATGCCTCAAGAAAGCCACCTCGAGAGATGCCTCAAGAGATCTAGCTGCCTCGAGAGATCTAGAGATGATTTAGAAAGTGATGGTGTGGTGCCTTGGAGAACAGGTGCAGAAGTGGGTGAGGCCCCTAGGGAAGACATGTCCCATGGCGGATACTTGGAGGAAGAGAAGAGGCTGGGTGCGGGGGCTTTAGTTACCACCAATAGGAAACATGGCCACCTTAGGCATTAATGACTTTGTCAAGCAGACACAGAACAGTGTGGTCAGGAAAGGATGTAATGTCTTTAACAAGAATGGTTAAAGGTCGAGAGAACATGAAAGAATTGGGTTTATGTGGTTTGAAAAAGCGAAAAATTAAAGACTCAGGGTATGTCTACCCTACCCCGCTAGTTCGAACTAGCGGGGTAATGTAGGCATACCGCACTTGCAAATGAAGCCCGGGATTTGAATTTCCCGGGCTTCATTTGCATAAGCCGGCCGGCGCCATTTTTAAATGCCGGCTTGTTCGAACCCCGTGCCGCGTGTAGCCACGC